AAAACTAATATCACTCATTTATTTAATCAAGAAACAAGGAAAGAAACTATCTTCTCCAGACCTTCAACTAAAATAGGGAAATTTAAAATGTATGAATCTCTGGAAAATGAAAATTATGATTTCTTAATGTCAAATATTGATGATAAATGGAATATATATCAAGGTAAATTCTTAGAGCATATGTATGACGAACTTCCTATAGTTAAAAAAGTAGTCTCCAAGAACACAAATAGAATTGAATGGTTTAACGAGGATATTAGGAAAATTAGAAAGGAACTCACATCTCTTAATGATTTGTATGTTGCTTTCAGATCTGATGATCTTGCGATAAAAATAAAAAATCTCAGGCTTAAGTACAGACAGGCTATAAATGAGGAAAACCTCAATGCAAATAACGAGTTCATAAAAAATTCGGATAATATTGCAAAATCCTCTTGGAAAGTAATCAATAAAGGTAGGTTGAAAAAGTCACAGGAAGAAAACATAAATATTAGTTCAAATGAACTCAATAATGTTTTCAATGAAATAGCAAGAAATTCAGAAACGATGAAGCAATCAACATTAATGAAATCTGGCTGCCTATCCTTAATTTGACACAAACAAGGTCGGCTGATCCAATTAGGAGAATTGAAGCCACGTTTATCTATGAAAATATAAAACCAGAGACAAATTCCAGCATTTTAGTTTCAGCGTTGGGAAAAACAACTCAAGCACCAACTTGAGCACTACCGCAGTAGTAATAACCTGCAGATCACGACCAAAAAACCTGGAAAATAGTTCCGACACAATTGTCATATAAGTTCGTTGACTTTAATTTCAGTGATATTTCAACTTACCGATATATTTGACGGTTTCGTTACCAACTCGGAAACTTTATAGATGCCACTCTCACCTCCAGGTTTAGGACTCTGAAATCAAGTAAAAACTCTCTTGGGTACTTATTTGGTGACCTGAATCTGTTGAATGTGAGTTTTCTCAACAACTGGACTCAAGTTTATATTTTCAAGGACATTTTCTAAACAATTATACAATTGTAGATAAATATGTGAATTTGATGTATTTGATAGATAATTGAAATTGAAATTTGAGATAATGAAATTAATGCATGAATACTTTATTTTATTTATTAACTAGTCAAACAATAAATTTTTCAATTGCTCTTGCATATTATTTCACTTAAACTATCCAAAAGCACATCAGTATCATCTGAGAACTGATGCTTTCTTATCCAACATTCACGTTTTCAACTTCTCCAAAAACGAATGTACTCACCAAAACTCTGACGTGGCGAAAGACATCCAAAGCAGTCCATAGTTTTTCGCATGCTATGAAATTTTCTTTTATTCTAGACTGGACTCCATCAACTCCAAGGCACTGAAGTCCTGCCCAAAGTGGAAGAGCGATTATTTTGCTACAGTGATGATCAGTATTCAAACCAGCCAATAACGGTAAGGTACTTTCTCTACTTCCCCCACCTTGTTTGTTTCGATAGGAGTTAACGGTAGAATCCCAAGCACTATATAAGGTCTGTAGAAATGTTAAAGAAAAACAATTTGATGAAGATAGATACTTGAACAAGTTATTCACCAGAAAACTCTCTGAAAATAAAATTCCTCTCTCACGATTGAATTACAAACTTTTGTTTATTNGAATTCTGTGGTCTACAAGATCAAATGCCTTACTTAGATCTAAGAAAATACCCAGAGTTCGATTACCCATATCTAGACTATTACATAGCTCTTTTAGTAGTTTTATTATAGCTTGTGTTGTTGAACGTCCCTTTCTAAAACCAAATTGATTTTCATTGAATAGCTTATGAAGATCAAAGAATGAAACGACTGAATTTGACACCCATTTTTCATAAACCTTTGCAAAAGCACTGGGGACAGTAATGGTAATTGTTTCAAAGTAAAAAAATAAAATTTTAACATTGCAATATCCTTATATCTTCTGTAGGCCAATCAGTCTTTGTGATTGAATTATTATAAAAAAAGTTAAGCCAAAAATCTAAATCACCGACGTTGATCATATATTCGTTCAAGAATATTTACACTTGGTTCAACAAATAGTTGGTAGTTAATGAAAAGGATACGACAATTGGTAATCCTGGAATACCCAACCAACTTCCTAATGTTAAAGTTAAACTGTCAGACACAGGTGACACCTGAAAATATAAAAATTATCATTCAATAAACTCAACATTTT